CATTGATCTTTGTTCTGTTCTGTATCGTAGTTATAGTTATTTATTTACATAATTTATATATTTCAGTTTCTACCACTTAACTAATTTGGTTATTCAAACTAAGTTATGCTAATGGTTTTAGCTTAAATAACTATCCATGATTATTTTATGTCCCTTAAACTCTTTGCATAATATTTCTCACTCTGTTGTGTGCTTATAGCTATTACCTTTTCAGGTGATGAAATGTAAGGAAGACCCGTAATCTCGTGTAGTGGAATCCACACAAGAATTTGATGCTGATCTGTTATTTTGTTTTTTTTTCTTTTTTCTTTTCCTTTCCTCCTTTTGTGTTTCTCGGGGCCGGTCACTAAATAATAAAATAATAAATACCCCATAGATGTACTTTCTTTTATTAAAATAGTAAAATGAAATAAATTTTTTGTTTAATTATTTTTATTTGCCTTCGCCTGCCCATTTAATTTGCTACAAATAAATTAGTAAGTTGCGATTCCAGCCTTAAGCCCCTAGGGTTGGGTCGTGACACAAACTGCACAAATCATCCTACCTACCTCGCGCAAACCACCCCTTTTCAAGCCAACACATTGTTCTTATATATATATATATATATATGAATGTAGATGTCGGTTGAAACAGAGAAGGAAATATTCCAATTTCTGTCTTATGATCTTTACAAAGATCTTACCATTAACCACCAAAACTATGACAATTGTTCCAAGTGATCGCTCGAGCGAAAAAAGGATGCTTCCAGTAGTTTGCCTTGCAGACCGAAGGACGACTCGAGCGAAGTGGTCGCTCGAGCGAACTTGTGGGGGTTCCCAGAATTTAATTTTGTAGGCTGAAATATTGAGAGTTTAAGTTCACCACTCGAGCGGTGAAAAGATCGCTTGAGCAGTCTACATGATATCAGCCACTTAAAAGTTACTTTTTAGATTATTTTTTTCACTTTTTCTCTCATTCCTTCTCTTTTCTCTCTAGCTTCGAAAACCCTAGCCTTATCTTTCTAGAAATCTCTCATTCTACTAAGAATTACATCCTCATTCCTTATAAAAGTTGGAGTTTCGGTGAAAATAAAGCTTTCTACTGATTGGATTTAGATTTTACAAAGAGTTCTTCAAAAATCTAGCTTCTTCTTCTTGGTCTTGATTCTTGAGGTAGGATTACTTTTAACATTTGAAGATGTTTATGTGGTATTGTTACGACATTAATGAAGAGATGAATGTTGAGTTTATACATTGAAAAAAGATGAAATTTCTCTACTG